TTTTATTTCGTTAAAGAATAAATATTTTTTTCATAAATGAGTGTGAAAGATCGTAAACAACTACATCATATCCGGTTTGCAGAAAATATTTTGCAACATACATCTCATTTAAGCAAAAGATAATCAATGATTAAACGGGAAAACGGATACAGGATATTTCATTTTAAAATACCTAACAATCTGGAAAACTAATTGTAAGAATTACGAAAAAATGTTAAGAAAAAAAAAAGAGTTTTTGGAAACGACGTAACATGGTGAACATATGTAATAATAGTTGTAATTTTTAACTTTTATGTTATTTTAAGATCAATTTGTTTTTTTTAATAGTAATATCTTTTTAATAGAATTTTCTATTCTTTTAATTATTCTATTATTCTATTATTCTATTGTTTTAATTTTATATTCTTCAAATACTTCAATTTTTATTTAAAATATTTTTTTATGTTTAATTGAAAAAAATATTTCAAAGTAAAAATATCAAAAATTCTTTTAAAATCCGCCCTTAACAATATCCTAGGATTAACAACGTACATGTGGCGAAAATCTGATTCTGGATTTCTGTGTCACAGGAATAGAAACAAGAACCTTGAAACTCTTGAGTCACTTCTTGAGTCCCCCTCAGATCCCTTCAGATTCCCTTCTACGTAGCTTGTTGAATGAAATGAAAAGAGATCTGAAAAGAATAGAAGTTATCGTCGGAGCATCATTATTACAAGTATGATGGGAAAATGACGTACGAGTTCGCCGAGTTCAATTATTATATCTTTTGAACTAAACAATAATCTATCATTTAATTTTATTTTTCTTTTTATAACGAAAATGTCGACGAAGATAATTATTTATCACAAAACTTTCCAAATTTGTAGCATCATATAATTTCAAGACGTTAAGTTCCAAATTAAAATTTAATTGAAGAACTCTATTTAAAATTTAATTAAGAATAATAATGTCATTTCAAGTTCTTTTCATCTGCGAACAAATCCTTTTTATAATTCTCACGTTTTTAATTCAGAAATTTTGTTCCGATATATTCGCTGAAGAAAATAATTTTCGAAAAGAATTCGTCGTTAAAGGATCACCCGGTCTTTTTCTGAGTTTATTTTCTAAATAGGATAAGACTATATTTATAGAGCAGAAAGGAATCTCTTACATTATATTACGGCTTTCGCACAGAACAGTAAAGAGAAGCAAGTGCGAAATGAGTACGGATCTTTAGATAAAGAAAAACGTCAAAGTGTCGCGCACACGCGATGCAAAGTCTATGCAACCTTCAATGAATTTCCGACCATTCGCATCCGCTCGCGGGACTAGAGTTCTTCCATTGAACGCGTAGTTTGACCTCCTCCTCTTTCCGTTCATGTCTCTGTCGCTTTTTTCACCTTTTCTGCCCCACTTTTTCTCCAATTTTCCGTCTTTGTAGACGCGATTTAGGGCAAATTCGTTATTGCTGAAAGGATTCTGGTATTCGTTCGCTTCGCAGATTGTTATTAACGTATTTATCGAGGGAGATATTGATCGAATCGCGGTTTTTCAATGAACTGCACTGCCGTCGCTAATGGTAATACAAGGGACAAGGCGATCCGGACTCGTCCACGGCGACCCACTTTTGAAGCTGTGACGTCGGACGGTCCATTCACCTTGCAGCTCGTTCAGAAACCAAAGCACGTGCCGTCATCGGTTACCTACAAATATACAAGGGAAGGATTTCTACAGTAAATAGTTCATTTCCTTATCTATCTTAAATATTCCATATTGTTTATTCCTTTGCACTTGAGGAAAAGAAAGATAAAAATAAAATGTAAACATTATGTACTGTTATGTTTTATTACATTATTCTGCTCATATCGCACCGTTTAAATGTCAATCCGTGGGTCGCTAAAGCTTTGATCATTTTACTTAACCGTTGGAAAAATGCGTCCAGGTGATGAATTAGATCTTTGCCTCCTGAATGACTCCCATCTGGAAAATATATCGCAAGGAGTGAAATTTTAAGGACTGGTGATAAGCAATACATTTTTTCAAAATTTAATTTTCAGAAATGATGACGTTAGTGGAGCAATTATTAGGTTATATTCCCTCTTATTGATTTTATTAATACAGAATTAATATAAAATTCTTAATATGGAAATCTTAATATAGAATTTTGGGGAGTAATTATCACTGGATTTTAATCAGCGAGATTCTAGTATCTTTTCCAGAATTAGAAATCTCTTTCTGTGAAAAGATCAGGATAGAGGGGTAGCTTGTTCCAGTGACCTAGTTTATCCCCGGGGGTTGAATGAACGGCGTTGAACGCCAGATGACGTCATTCTCGACCCCATTTCCGGTCTCCCCAGTGCAACCAGTTATCCAGCTTCGTGTCCCGTTGACCCGAAATTTCTCATGAATTGAAGGACACATTCGTTCATAACGAGTCGATCTGCCATGCATGAATGAATTCTCCGTTTCTGCATTACGAGATAAGAAAAAAATAGGCACACGGTTAAGAATGTGATTCGATGCGTTTTCTTATATAATAATATCTTTTACGATTCTTGTTTGCTTCGTGAAGAAAGAAAAATATTCATTGACCAAACAAGATATGCATTTGAAGTTTTTCAAGACTTCCAGACGCCTGGCTGCGTGAGAATAATATGCTTTATCAAAAGTCAATAAATTGTTAGCTCACATTAAGATATTCGTCTTGTTATTGAGGAAGATATATTTCTCAATCTTGTTGAGATTGAAATTTGAAAGTCTTAAAACTTTTCACGTGACTTCTGCATATTTTTCATTGTTTTTCTTTCTTTTTACTAAAAGTTGTAATTATTATTTATCGTAATTATTTCCACATCTACAATGTTTCTACGATATTATACTGCAATTAGTAAGATTGCAACATGGCTAAACATATAGATATAATGTCCTTTGCTGCATTAGATAAATACAGCAATTTTTAATGTGATTATAACAATAATATATGATGCTTTTTGTTAAAATTAGTATATGTTCTAGATATACTATCCACACACAGTATAACACTAAAAAGACCTACATTAAAATATACATGATATTCCAGGTTAAATATCTTTTTTGCTATTAATGGTATATAAAAAAAATTATAAATTATTTCTTTTTCCACACTAATTTAATCATAATTATTTTTACGTTATTTTTACGTTATATTTATTGAATTTTTTGCTTGACATCATTAAAGAGATATTACATTGTTATGTCATCATATATTGGTCTTGATCTTAACTGTAATATGATAATGATATTTTCATACATATAAGAAAAATATTAGTAATCTTGAAATGTGTATTATTAATCTTATCATAAAAGTATCATACAATTTTTGCATATTATTGTTTTTGTATTTTTTTTAATTAGACACACATATAATGTTATCACTATCAAGGAAAATATTTAAGATGTAAGTATCAAATCAAGAGTAGGATACACACATATGTATATAATGCATATATATATATATATATATATATATATATATATATGCATAGGAAAATTAATCATATGTCTATCATAAAAAAATATTTTTTTTTAATTAGATATAATTTATTATTTTTATTATTTTTATATTTCTGTTTATATATGTTCGAAATATATGTGAGAAAAATCGTTTGATTTCTGCAATACAATTAGAACTTTTACGTAAGAAAATTCATACATTTTCATTTAAATATAATTCAAAGAATAATATAATTACTCGATATAAATTCAAAGTAATGTTCTTTTTAAACTTTCTCGACTTTTCGGTTTATCAGAAAAACCTAACTGCTCTCGCTAGTTCAAGTTTTTCTTTCGCAAAAGAAATGTATATAATAAACATTATAAAATAAATATTATATAGTAAATATTATATTAAAATAAAGCCATCGTTAAAATAAGAGCAGTATACGGGTTTGCGCGACCGCTCGATGTCAATCAGCTGATTGTCAATCAGCTAATCAGAAAACACTATGTGCGTAACAATTGCAAAATTTGACGTGTCAGACTTCATCGGCGACCTATTACACGCGGCGCCCTGAAGTTATCATCAAATTTTCAAAATTATTGGTTCTCGACGAAAAAGGCACATTATAAAAGATACAGAAATTTCCACACGTAAAATTTCCTTCTGTAAAACCGCTTTGTAAGTTAATAAGTCGTATTCGTACTTAGAAATTTTTACAAATTTTATAGCTTTCAAATCTATCTTTCCGTCTTATTATCTGAAAGAAAGTATAATTATTAGAAGCGTATATAACTTATATATGTATATATTACTCTCTAATATTAAATTTGTGGCACTTCTAAAATAAACTCAGGATTAAATCAGAAATTTACGTAGAGAAATTTTATTTTGTGCGCATTCACTCGCGAACAATATACTATAAGCCTTTGTCGATCAAGTCACATATTTTATATAATATATATTTTTTGATATAATTTTCTTTTACAAAAATTTGCAATTTCTGAAAAAATTTCAAAGTACTTTTCTTATAATATTTCTGTATTGATATAAAATTTGTATATACAAATATTATAATTTCTATTATAATTTATTTTATTTATTTTAATTATTTTATTATTATTTATATTAATTTTTATTTATTACATATTAAATTAATTTTTATTTATTTTATTTTAATTTTTATTTATTACATATTAAATTAAAATACCGATTAATGTGAAAATATATGAATTATAACTGTAACACACTTATTAGTTTATTATTATTTCATCATCTTTAGTCAATATTCTATTTTATTAAAATCTCATCTCGCTTTCACTAGTTATATTCGCTATAATAAAATCACATATTCTCTCACTCTTGTTTATATGTTAAACTTTGCTCTTCGACATTGTTATTTACTCTTTTACTTATGTACAAGTCGTGATCTTTATGTGACGTCAAGCTGACAATCTCTCTAAATTGTCCAATTATGTGTAATCTTTTTGCTGTAATCAGTCAAGATATGTGATAACACATAGGTTTATGTCGTATAAATGTCGGATAGCGACTGAATCTTTCTTAGTGTTCTCGATACGATTCAAACAGGCACACACAATGGAATATTTGAGTTTCGATTCATCGACTAAGTCGCTTACTTTAAAAAAGCAAAATGTTCTTCCTAAACCGGCGGCAAATGAAGTACGAATCAAAGTCGTGTATTCTGGAGTCTGTGGGACGGATCTTCATATTTTGGAAGTACATAAAATATTTGTAAAATATAAATATAAATATAATATAAATACAAATTTAAAATATAAATGTAATCGTAAAATGTAAAATATTTGTAATGTGATTTTCTGAAATATTTTATAATTGATATAGTAAAATATTCCATATAAATATCATCATTATGTATTTTGCATTATATATAGAATATATTATTAATATAAATTATTAATATAAACGTATTTTGCATAATTGTATTTTGCTTATAAAATACGGATTATTTATTACTTAAAAATATTTGAGACTTGGCATGAGACAAATATGAAATTTTGCGATATGCACGATAATATAATTTTTTTTCAGGGTGCCTTTCCGTGTAAGGAGACTGAACCCTTAACACTTGGGCATGAATTCGTAGGTACGATTGACGAGCTTGGATCGGGAGTGACTATATTTAAGGTTGGTCAACGGGTCGCCATCGATCCTAACAGCGGATGCAATAATTGCAATCACTGTCACAATGCAAATTATCATTTTTGTAAAGGCGGAGGTATAAATAATACGATAGGAATTTTTAGAGATGGAGGATGGGCTACGCACGTGCTTGTTCCAGAAACGCAGGTACAGTAATATCTATAAAGTGTCTCTCCAAAAAAATGTTTTATAATGATAGATTGTACGACCATCCCTGAAATTGATTTTCATATATTTTTAATAAAATTTTTATAAAATATTATAATAAAAAGATTATTAATAATAAGATTTTTAATAAGATTTTTAATAAAAATATCAAAGAGAAAACGCAGGGTGCCTTCTCTTTGATATCTCTTGAAAACATAGAAAATCTAAAATTTCCAGAAACTTTTTATCGGACAAATCAGAGAATTTTCATGGAATTTTATTGGAATTTGGGAAATTAAAAAAAATTCTTTTGATAATTTTCCCCTCATGTTGTAAACAGCCAAATGAATTGAAAAAAATGTCTTTTCAACATTTGTTTTCTATTAAAAAAGAAATAACGTTTTTTCTTCATATGTACATCTACGACTTGTAGGTTTATTTGATCCCAAATGAGATTGAAATGCATCAAGCAGTGCTGACCGAGCCATTGTCGTGTCTTGCTCACGGCTGGGACAAGCTTAATCCCGTAAATATAGGAGAGAAAGTTCTCGTAATAGGTGCCGGTATCATAGGTTTACTATGGGCCTGTCTACTTCATTTACATGGTCTCAGGAAGACTGTCACTATCAGTGAACTGCAACAAGAACGAAGGAAACTCGCCGCCAATCTTGGTAATATATTGAAAAATTATTTATACATTTATCAAATATATTGGAGCATTATTTTATACATTATTTTGTGACATCAACCTGAATAAATTTTCCAAGATTTTTCTAATAAAATATGCAAATATATACAGGTCTAGATTACCAAGTTAAAAGTCCAAACGAAATAAAAGAAGAGTTTAATGTAGCCGTGGACTGCAGCGGCTCTGCTCCAGCCATGGAAGCGGCTATTTCATTATTAGGTCATGGTGGTCGCTTGTGTGTATTCGGTGTCGCTAATCCGAAAGCGAAGCTATCAATTGAACCATTTCAGGTAAACCTATCACACATATTTGCAAGAATTGTATATTTAAAAAAAATTATAATTATTTAAAAAAAATTATAAATTAATTATAAAAAAAATTATAATTTTATACGTATTTTCGCAGGTTTATAAGAAAGAGTTGACTATCCTAGGCGTACTTGTGAATCCATATTCTTTTCTTAAGGGATTAGCCTTAGTGCAGCCATTGTCTGAAAGATATCTCGATTTCAATAAGTTGGGAATTAAGGTATTTGCTTTATCCCAATATAAAGAAGCTCTGGATGCGTTAAAGAAGGGAAACATAAGCAAGGCTATTTTCAAATTGTAAAACGAGATTTTTCTGTTGGAAAAAAATAAGGGATTATTTTTCTCTAAAGTTTTATTACTCATTTCATATACAAATTAGGCTGAATATTTAAATGCATGAATATTGAATAATAAACTGCAATGTCTTAGTATGCTCGCAAATGAGTATCTGTATAAAACCTTATTGATATTAAAGCTATGATATATTTGACACTACATATAAATTGCGTTACAACGTATATAAATACTAGTTATTACGAGATATTACGAGTATCATGTCATCGAGATTCAAATACAAATTATGACATTAACAAGTATAAAATCGTATAAATTTGTAAAAGGTATAAAAACTTGCTAAGAGATTCTTTTAATTGAAATTTTATCTTCCTATTTTTACTTATCGAGGGTTATATCGTATGATACACCTGTTAAAAGACTCGGATTCAGATTATAAATGTATAAGCAAGCAAGAAATATGTACTTGATAAAATACATTAAGTGTTATCTTATTCATGTACGTACAGAGAGTAACATACATACATAAAGACAAATAATAAAATGCCTAAACTATACACATTTATAATTTTAGTTGCAATATGAATTACATTTTATCATGAACAAGGCACTAACGTCAACATTGTTTTCTTTGTTCATGATCATTCAAATTTTTTTTATTAACACTGTAGCTGCATAAATCTACTGCCAAGTTTTTCCTATATAATATTAACAAATTTATATTGTCGTTTTGCAATTATTAAAAACTATCTATAAGATAATAAGATAATATTATATTTTTTTGCAACGTTTTTTTATAACGTCATTATTCTTTGCCGTTGTTTATCAATTTGTAATAAGACCAAGTGTTGTTTGTCATGCTATCTGCATAGAATATTATATATCGTGTATGGTTATAAATGTTACATAATATCGTGTATCATTATAAATATGTATACTGAAATGTTATAATTTATATCTTGTCAACATTTTTGAATATTTTAAATATTAATCTCCATTCATAAATATGAAAATTATGTTCCAATAATTAAAATGTTAACAAGTAGCAAATCAGTATATGATATAGATAGTTAAAAATCACATTACATTTATTATATCGCATATTTTCTTTTATTCTACTAATATCTATTCTCGATCTTATTTAATATCGTTTCGACTTCGATGTACGATTTGATAAAAATTGAGCAGCATAATCATGCACAATAAGAAAACAAGATCAAGTGTAAAGATTTAGAAAAAATGTATACATTATATAAGTGATATGGAAATTTCAATAAAAATTATACAACATACATATATGTAAATATATATAAATAGATTTTAAAAATATTATTATAGAAAATCGTAATGTATATAGAAGAAATAATGAAATTAAATTTTCCTTAACAATTGCACCATGGCGACATAAGTACCATAAATGTTCCAATGCTCGTGTTTTTTTTACTGATAATACAAATCGCTCCATTCGTAAATAACAATATAAAAATAATCATGTGATGAAATAGACAAGTTAGAGAAACATTAATTGAGGCCCTTATGCTATAGGTTTTGGTCTTATAGCATTATTGCGATAATAACGCTAATGATTGTATAGAGCCATTTTAAAGAGTCGCATTTGTTTGCTGCTGCCCATTGAAGGCCTGGGTAATTAATATTTGGTATGGGAAATTCTGAAAATAACAAATATATACATATATATACACACATATTATATATTACATATACATTATACATTATAACAACAATACACATATACATTACAATACATATACATTATATATAACAAACTAATTGAGAATCTATAATAAAATGTAATTATTTTAAATTTCCATTATTTTAAAAAATATGTGAAAAAACTTACCTTATTATGATTAATAAAACTAAAATGATCAAAGAATTCGAAATTGGAATAACGCCAGTTCCATAATGAGCTTGACCACAAGCTGGTGGGCAAACAGGTATAATGGTTTCTGCGCAAACAAACAAGGGAACAAATCTAACATGCTATCTACCAAAATAAATTAATTGCAAATAGCTAAAGAAAAAAATAATAAAAAAATTAGAAGATAAATTAGAAAATAAATTAGAAGATAAATTTTGAAAGATTTAAAATGTACATTCATATACGCACATTAAATTTTATAACTCAAACAATACGATAGATATTTAATTTTATAACTTAAACATACGATAGATATTTAGTTTTACCATGCACAAATTAACAATATTGACAAGTCTAGATCCAATTCAATTAATCTTTCTCTCTCTTTCTCTTGTGTTTTAACTAGATAAATTACATACAGGTAACATACAATACATAGAAATATAGAGAAATGTCTTCTTTTGAAATTTTTCTTACCAAAAAGCTCAACTTTTGTCTCAGCACTGCCCAATTTATTGGCCGCTCGACATACATATACTCCATATTGCCGTTTCTCTATAGTAATAACTCGAATCGTTGTATCGGTGTACTCGTCCGCTGTTGCAAAATGCGATATACTGTAATGCTGATTATTCGATAATTGTACATCGTCCTTGACCCAAGTAATAGCTGGCGGAGGATACGCTTCTACATGACACTCTAAATCCATATCATACTGCAAAGCTTGTCCCAGTCGTGGCCTCGGAGCTGTTATCACCGGTGCAAATTCAACCTCCACATTAATATTACGTCTAGCACCACGTCCAACTCCATTTTCAGCAACGCAGTAATAAGTCCCACGATCCTCTTTTCGTATGGCAGATATTTTTAATGTATTACCACTGTAATATTTTTAAAATTTATATATACTCATCAAATAATTAATAAAATATAAAATATATTTTATCAAATATATATGATAATTAATAATAATAATTAATAAAATATATTATATTAATAATATATTATATTAATAATAATAATAAAATATAAAATATATTTTATCAAATATATGTAATAATTAATAATATATTATATTAATAATAATAATTAATAAAATACAAAATATATTTTATCAAATAATTAATAAAATATAAAATTCCACTAATTATTCCATACCGATAAATGGATCCTCCAGTAGGCAAAATGGCATTATTCTCTCTGCGCCATGAGATTCTTGCCGGTGGAAAGCCACTGGCGTAGCATTCTAGCATAACAGGCTGTCCCTCGCTAACTACTAGAGATTGAGTCGAATTGTCGCTAATTATCGGTGGTCTACGAACTTGTAATTCCACTTCTGCATTTAAAAGATTGTTCACAGATATTTGTATTCTGCACTGATAGAATCCAGCATCTGTTTCTTGTATATCTTTAATCTGAAACATCAAGTATGTCAATTAATACATGCGATACAAATATATATATCTGGAGTCAGGAGTATTTTGACCAAATCTTACCTGCAAGAGATAAGAAGCCGATGCCGTATCATGTCTAATGGCAAATCTACTGTCCCTAATTATCAACGCAGTGCCGGTAGAAAGTGCCACTTGCTCGTGGACACTATTCCTGTTGAGTTTTATCCACAAAACAGGATAATCCTCCGCATATTGAATGGAACAGCGTAATTCTACTGTCTCCCCGATATCCTTAATTTGTTCTTGCGATATGTAAGATATTGTCGGAGTACGTTGAGCCACAACTGGAAACAACAAACAGAAACTCGTACATCTGACTCGAAAAGCAGTATTATTTACCAAATAGCGAGAGAGAACTTTTTCATTTTGAATGAATGCGATATCACAAATGTAAGATACGACATATATTTTTGAACTCAAAGTAAACAACGGCCCATATTCTGAATCTTTTCTTACAAGCATATAATGTACAATTAAAGCAAGTTAAAAGCTGAAATTATGTAGTATGGATTATTATTATTATTAAAGCTACGCACTTATTATTATTATTATTAAATATATATATTATTATATTTATTATTATTATTATTATTATTATTAAATATATATATTATTATATTTATTATTATTATTATTAGAATTATTATTATTATTATTAAAGCTTGTAAAAATAAACTTTCTGATTGGTTATAGGTCACTTTTAGAGGCACTTTTATCGATAAAAGAGGGTTCAGAAAAATATGGACCAAGGTACCTGACTTCGTGTGTGTGTTTACCTGTCTGCAAGAACACGCATGTCAGAGCTAAGATGACAGGACGCATCGTGACACACCCAATATGACTCTACTCGATCTGAACAACGTCCTCAGCGTTCTTGCACGAGCCAATTGTTGCTGTTGCTATTTCTGAACATGGGATTCCTCCATGCGATCCAACGAGGCGCGGGTCAAATTTTATTCACTCGACGAACGCGCGCGACTCTACTCGACGAGACCGATCGAAACTGTCGGAAACGATGTAATCGGAAAAGCAGAAGTCTAACACGTCAAAATTCGCCGAGGCATCAACGGGCGCGAGAGGCGTGTGTTGACTGATCGTCGAGCGTTGTAAATATGGCGTACGATACTACGCGACTAGTCAAGCGCGAGATAAAAGTCTCGTTGGTTTTATCTCGCGACGATTACGGCTCCAGTTAAATCGATTGAAAATTTTAATTTGCAATTATAAAATTAAAATTGATCAGGATAGCGTTCTGCGAATACGATCGATAAATTATTGATGTGATTTGATCGCTTTCGCGATCGATTTGAATGTTCGAAACGTTCGAACGCTTGAATTCGCGAGAGGTAATAAGATTTAATTATTAAATAATACGAGGAAAAATGTCTCGTATCGAAGGCCGGAATATAATGCGTGCAATTAAAGCAAAAAGCTGAAATTGTATATTATGGATTTATTATTATTATTAAAGCTACGCACTTATTATTACTATTATTATTATTATTATTATTATTATTGTTGTTGTTGTTATTATTCTTATTCTTATTATTATTGTTATTATTATTATTATTATTATTAAAGCAGTAAAAATACATATTTAAAAATAGTTCAAATTTAACACCTTAACGTTTTATGTAAAACTTTATTTCAAAAATCCGCATTTATTTTTATGACAAATTTTTATTATTGATTATACGTTAAAAGTATACATCAAAATTTTCTTCCCTCTTAAAATAAAATTATGCAATTGTTCCATAAGAATGTCTTAATATAAATTTGAAAACTGAATTTTTAAATATGTACTTTTACTGCTTTAATATAACGAATATGTATAATAATAAATCCCTAATTTGATCACAGTAAAATAATAATAATAAATAACGTATATATTTATAAATAACATATGTATTTAATAATAATAATAATAATAATAATAATAATAATAATAATAATAATAATAATAATAATAATAATAATAATAATAATAATAATAAATGTGTAGCTTTAATAATAATAATAATAAATCCACACTACATAATTTCAGCTATTAACTTGCTTTAATTGTACAGGGTGCTTCCGCAACATACAGATCGGTAAGTCGGATTGCCTATCTGATGATCGGTCTTCTTTTACCGACCTCGCATAATTGAAAAATAATAAAATCAGAGGATCGATCATGTAATTTTTTTTCGTGGACAGTGAAAAAATTCCTTGATTGATACCTTGAACGCAAATCCGTAGGAAATGAGAAAAGTGAAATTAGCTTTTAACATTGATATAGTGTAATTGTAATATTTAATAACATAAATAACATATATTTAATAACATAAATTGTAATATTTAACATTATTTTTATTTAACATTAATTGTAATATTTAATAACATAAATAACATAAATAACATATATTTAATAACATAAATAACTTAAATAACATTAATAACATAAAATTAAATATGACAGTCGTCGCTGGAACGCCTAGAACGTATATTTTAGGATCTAGCTATGCGGATCACGTATTTATTGATCGATTTTTTAAAATTAATATCTCGACATTTTACACAGTTGTTTGTAAAATGATATAGGACTTTCTAATTCAGTTTAATAAGATCTATTTGTATATTTTCGATAAGACACCTTATACATTAAATATCCTATATATATATATACATATATATATATATATATATATATATATATATATATAATTATCATCAATTTCTTATTTTCAAATTTAAAAATAAAATTAAATGAAAAAAGAAATGAATTAAATATGAAGTAATACAAAAATCTATCCATATAAAAATAAGGAATAACACATTTAAAGACATTCTCTCATCAATCTGTGCTTATTAACGAGATGTTGGTTATATTTTCCTCTTTTATGAACTTGGAAAAATCGTATATTGGTTTTGGAAACATCTGTATTATGAAGACCATAACTGTTATTAACGCCATGATAAACTGAAAAAAATATGTAGATTAAATTATCTTGCAGACAATGAATTTATAATAAAGATATAATAAAGATTATAAATTAATTGCATGTAAAACTATTTCATAAAAAAAGACAGAGACGGAAAAAGAAAATAACATTTCTGTGTGATTAATTTATAAAATATAAATTTTCATTATATAATTAAATATAATAATAAACATGTAAAATGTAATAAAAAAGTATATAAATAATAATTTGTAACACATAATAATTCATAGTATGATAAAGCATACAAGAGGATAATTATATAGAGAAACTAACTTTTCGCAGAAGATCACTGCCAAAATAGAAACAACCCAATCCAGTGAATTTTAGTGGATGATATATCATATACAATGTAAACTGATAAATCTATACGAACAGAATTCTTATGCACATATACACATATACAGAATTATTATTATTTAAGCAATATATGTAAAATATTTTTTTGTATTATAAAAATTTTATTTTACTTCGTCAGGAATATCAGCATATCGAAGAAAATCTGTTAGTTGATGAATAATTCTTTCCATTTCATTAGCCTAAAGAAATAATTAATATTCTATTAATAATAATAATCAATTATATATGTAAATATACATATATATATATATATATATATATATATATATTAATATTTATATATATTTATAGGGCGGTTAACATAACTGTTAACATTTTAACACTTTCAAGAACTATGAGATCAATTTTAATGGTTTGAACTTGAATTTTATAAATCACTGAGCCTTTAAATCTATGTTAAGATTTTCTTCCAAACAGAAAGCGCAACTTTAAAATTTTCAATGAATATAAAATAAATATTTTTTAAAAATCTGTATTTGAAAACAAATATTTTTATGAATTATGTGAATCACTTTGTATTAAAAATTTACCTTAGCGCTGACATGTTCACAAATGTAATTTAAACAGAAGATCCTAATCACATATAAGAATACCCATATTTGGATATCAAGCCAACATAATAATGGTAATTTTGAGAGAAATTTCGTTCGTTCAAGTAGATAAAAAAGTCCACAAAATGTTATGAAAGATATCATATAAATTATCATTTGCATAGTCATCTGTATGCCAAATATTTCGTTTAATTCGCGAGAAATTCGACACAATTCCAAATGGAGATGCCTTTAAGAAAACAAGATTTATTATTAATGAGGAAACATAGAAAAAATATGTAGATAAAAAAAAGAACTATTATGTGATATTTGCATAAATCAAATTTCCCCACCGATGATTTTCAAATATTTAAAATCTAAGTTATTATATTAATTTTATGAGATTTATAGTCTCTAGAAATTACAGATATATTTGAACAGATATGTGTATCGATTTACATTAATGTCCATAGTATTTGTTTGTAATAGTTAGTACGCGTAATATATCTATGAGTCAATACAGTATTCTTCCACGTGCATCGCAATCCATATTTCTGTTTTATTAGCAGATATTTCATATGCTTGTTTACTTCGTCAAATTTGATACTAATATACCTGTGATATATAAAATGTATTAAAATAAAAGCACTTATATATAGCCTAAAATATATCCAACATAAATTATTATGTCTACCTATTAAGAGAAAATTTTTATATAAATTTTCTATATTATTTTGATATTAAAAATTATAGAAATAATCTATGAAAAAAAATTGCAAAATATACATGAATAATAGCTGTCTTAAAAATATTTTTATTTTGAAAACATTATATTTTGTATTTGTGAAAACATTTTAAAAAATATTATATATTTGTCCTATAAAATATTTTATACTTTTTATCAGTATTATGCGCTCATATACACAAACACACAGACAGACACACACACACACACACACATGTTCAATTTGTAATGTATATATATATATATTAAGCATTAAATATGTTTATTATTAAAATATAATAAAATAGGTATATTTTGGATACAATACTAACCATAGAAGAGTTACAATTAATATACTCATAAATGTGTTAACGTGCACATGATGGTTTATGATATAAATAAAAATTAAGGCGTATTGTTTTTCTAACTTTTCCCACCATACCATATCATTTATATTGATTATATTTATAGAAACTAACCATCCAATTAACAACCGTTTTGCATATACATGTAATTTGTGATATAACTTTGGAGTGCCTAATTTTTCTAACGTGTTGTCTACAGCAGCAAGTCTTTTTATAAATATCCAAAATCTCTAAACAATATTAAACGAGAACAATATTAAGTAGTATTCAGGATATATTTAATTTTCTATTTATAATGTATATATAACTTTGCATAAAAACTGCATCTATTTTACACAAAATATAATATTTTAATTATTTCCATATAGAGAATTAATTTCAATATAGAGAATATTTATACACGTGTGTGTGTATGTGTGTGTGTGTGTGTGTGTGTGTGTGTGTGTGTGTGTGTGTGTGTGTGTGTGTGTGTGTGTGTGTGTGTGTGTGTGTGTATACGTACCTTGTTATAATAAATATTCGTAATAACAGATATGATAATGATCACATAGGAAACCACTATAGAGATTATCTGTCTAGGTTTATAAAGCCACTCTTCTGCTTTAAACTCAATTATTAGATAATAAAATAGACAAGGATAAATAATCCAAACTATCAGATTATAAAAAATATTTAAATAAATTTTCTTTGATAAGTAAGTACCAAAACCGAGAAGCGAAGAAGTTAGCAACAAAGGATATAAAGCTTCTTCTATAGTGGTCGCCATAATACATCATCACCTCCCCGGTTTTTGAAACATACTGATATTACAAGTTTGTACAAATTTCTTTTAATCGGTCCACTTATTAAAACGACAGAATCAATTGTAAAGCAATTAGAATGATGGTATATTAATTGAATTGATGCATTAGCGTTATGCATCATTTAATACCTTTAATATCATACAAGGAAGTCGACCAATTTTACTGAACAATATTAACGTCAATAATTAGCAAATGGCTTTTTTATAGAAACAATTAAAATATTTACATTTTTATTAAAATTATATGAGAAATAATGATTAAACTTCAATATTTTCTAACGATCTTTCGTATCTTCATAAATTCATAAATCTTCATTTTAATCATGTGCAAATATTTTAATATTTAAAAAATTTTA